GAATTTCCCCTCTCCCCCCCCCGCCACACTGGCTGCTAAGATGCCTTGTTACATATGTCAGCGTCGCTCGCTCCGCACCGGCCGCAAGGACAGACGGCGAGCCCCGCCATTGGCTACCAGGCGGCCCCGAGGAAAAGAGGCGGGGTCAGGCTGATTGATAAAGCAGGAAGAGGCGGTGTCCAGCCAGCACACAACAAGTGAGAGAAGAGGAATAGCCGCCACCACTGCGTTGCTATGGCAACGTAGAGGACATGACAGCAGAGGACACACAGGTAAGCTAACAGCTCCACTCGCAGCGACATCATGACGACCTCAGCTGCCTGTTTGTTTGTGTGTGTGTGTGTGTGTGTGTGTGTGTGTGTGTGTGTGTGTGTGTGTGTGTGAGTGTGCGGCGGGCACATACGAGTGAGAGACAGAGAGTATGTGCGCCTCTGCATAAATGTGTGTGTGTGTGTGTGTGTGTGTGTGTGTGTGTGTGTGTGTGTGTACGAGAGAATTTGTGAGAGGTAATCCTATTAGCCTTCTATTTGTGTTCCGCAAAAGTCGCACTAAGCGTCTTCTTATCTGTGTGTGTGTGTGTGCGCGTGTGTGTGAGCGTGAGTTGAAGTGTAAGTTGACTTGCAAGAACTTTGAATTAGTGACATGCAACAGACAGGTGTCTTGTTTCTGACTGGTGCAGCAGCACTTTGAGCATTGATTGACAGCTGATGTCAGACGGGTGGGTGGGGCTTCAGTGGGTTTCTTCAGAAAGCGATCATGCTGCGTGACTTGAGTGACGAACATGTGAAATTGACGTTTCAACATCGTGTTCATCTTTTCCTCCCGAAGGCATCCTCAACTCTGACTGTGAGACAGGCGTCGCCAGCTCGGTGCATGCTGGGAAGATTTTATACGATATGAAAATCAATACAAGCGTTGCGGACCAGAAGCCATAGAACAGATGTGTCACTTTGCGATGTCGTCCTTCCCTATCTAATGAGAACGTTTCTTCTTCTTCTGCAGCTTGACATAATGACAACAGAACATTCCCGCTGCTCCGATGACACCGCAGACTCTCTTCCAAGCCTTTAGCATTTGATTGCGGACCAGGTGGTCCAGAACCGTCAGCAAAGGTCTTCAGAAAAAAAAGGAGCCTGGGGCATTTGAGGTGTTAAAATGTCCCAGTCGGGAAAAGTGCTGCACCTGTATGTTGAGGTGCGGTCTGCGGGTGAAGAAGAAGGAAGGGTTCCTGGGATCGGAGATGACGGAAGGGGTCACCTGATCCTTCAGTGTCCGGACGTTCTCCCTCACTCTCAAAGGAGCTCTGTCCTTTCCAGCCCCAACCGAAGTCCGGACCATTCCCCACGTACCCACTGCCGAATGCCGGGTGGGCTCCAGAGCTCCTCTCCCTCCCTCTCGTCCACCAGGCACTCGGTCAGCCCGCAGGGCCGACACCCGGACAGCCTGGATTCCTCTGCTTACTTCCACCAGGAGGAGATGCTACCCAACACGTTTGAGGACTTGCTTCAGGTCCTTACATGCGCAACCACCAGTCAAGGACATCAGTACTCGGGAGCTCTTGCCCCGTCGTCGGACATGTACCCCTATCAAAGGCGGAAGCTTACCGACCCCCCGCCAGTGTTTGGGCGCATAAATGCACCTTCTACACCCACTTTCCACCGCCGGTCCTGTGATGTCCAAGGGTCAGGCGCTCAGGAGAGGAAATCGTCTGTGGTGACCTTCGGGTATATTGAGAAAGCCAACGTTCATATGATGGGTGACCGTCGACTGAGTGATCCGTTAGGATCCGGCAGTCGGGTCAGACGGGCTGAACCCTGCCCGGTTCACCATCGGCCCTCTACCAATCCGGGGTCTCCTTTCCTGCACAGAGATGCGGTCGCTCGAGATGCCACCTACCGCGCCTTGGAAGAGTTTGGCTCACCAGAATTGCGGCGGCGCTTTGCAGGTCGCGGCAATGAGAACTACAACCCGACCTTGCCACGAAACCACAAGTGGCCAACCTGCCGCTCATGGGCGGGGTCACCAGTCCTGCCCCACGGGACCCTCACTTTGCCATCCGGCGCTCAGCTCAGAGACCTCGATAGGGGAGGCTGTCAGAACTCCCCCAACGGGTTGGGGAGAAGCTCCGAGTCCAATCAGCTGCGTGCACACGCCGGGTTCTCCCCCCACACAGCAGCTCGGATGTCGGGGCATCATTCTCACGGCGCTCTCCAGATCCAGCAGTCTTCTTGGTCGGGGGACGAAAGTCCCAGACTGTCCGGCAGATTTCAACCACCTTTACCAGCTGGACGGCCCACAGATTTCCAGCACGATGCCCCAAGCAGCAGAGCAAATGGTGTGCGAAGCTCCTCCCCGTTTTCCAATGTTGACACTTTTTGGGGACGTCAAACTCCCTCTCCAACACCTTCCCCGTCTGAGTCTTTGAGGTCACTCAGTCCAAGCGTCGGAGAGTCATTGCTTCAAAAACCCCAACCACTTTCCGATCTTTATGAGGACCCCTCCTTGGATCCGCTGCGGGAAAACGAACCAAAGCCACAATGGAAGACGGACAAATCCAAACTTCAAGTAGAACCGGAAAGCGTCTCGCATGCCTTGAGCAGGAAAGGACCCTGCTCACCTTCGGCTTCTCATTTGCATGTCTTAACCCCGCGCCCGGAGCAGAATTCAAACTCCGCTCAGCATCCGCCACTCCCGCACCATCACCACCGAGTGGCGCGCTTGACTGGAGAGCGCAGAGCTTCAGACTGGGAGCCAAGGCGCCGCGATCGCTCACACAGCCCCGACACCTCCAGTGGACTCGCCTCCTGGCAAACAGTCGACGCCTCATCCTCCTCGCAGCAGGAGCTCAAGAAAACCAGTCCAGTCCAAGACAGGCTGCAAGTCTGTCAGCAAAAGTCCCGGCGCTTTGCGACAAGACCCAACGAAAAGAGTTTCCGAAAGCAAGGTGAAGACAAGGCAAGACAGGATCATTGCGCACCCGTCGGGCATCTGTCCGAGACTCGGCAGGAAAACGTTCAGGATCTCAACAAGGTTGTTGGGACGTCCTCTCGGAGCTCCAGCGGGCTGATGGGAAGCTTGGGCGAAAGAAGCGTGTCTCCTGAAAGCTGGAGCCAGTCCAGCTGCGATCTGGGCTCTGGGATCCAGGTCGGAGTTTGCTCACCTTTGACCTCTGTGCTCGGAAAGCTCATGTCTGCCATGTTCAGTTAGCTTTTTCATGCTCTCATTCCAATGACAAAAAGAGAACTCCAACAGTGCTAATTTTAGGTTTGAATATTTTTGATCGCCATAGTTTATTAACAGCGCACCTATGTTGACTATTTTCAGTCAGGCCAAAGTTCAGACGTGAGTCTGCCTTCGAGGTCACAGAAAATCGCCCAGGCCAAGTGGAACTTCCTGTTTGGAGCACAGAGCCAGGAAGACAGCAGCAATAAAGGTCACATGTTTACACCCCCCCCCCCCACACACACACACACACACACACACACACGCATGCACACACAAAACCAGCCTAATTTACATATGATTTGCATACTATAGCGGGCGTGCTGCTGCTGGTTGAAGTCCCATTTATGAAGCTTCAAAGTTTTAAAGCCAAGTAGCTCAAGCTAAGGAATGCTATTGTTAGCTTCTCACATTCTCTAACGCTGACCGGCACCTGTTTACAGACATAAAATAGGTGACGTCAAAAATGTTCATATCGAACATATGTCCAAAAAAACAAAAAAAAACATGCAACACTTGTGACATGTAACATTTCATACGGGCTGCTTTTGGTCTTGAATTCAGGCACTCCTCGGCCTGCTGCGTCCTCGCTGAGCCCTGCCGCCGCCAAGCCACCCAAGCAGAGGCGGGGTGGGAGGGCCGTCCAGGCTCAAAGGTCATCTCATCACCAAAAAGTTCGGCAGATCGAGGTGGAACTGCTCACCTCCGACCCGGGAGACTCGGCCCCCGAGACGGGCGTGGTTCGGCGCAGCGTCAAATATTCCGAGACGGACCTGGACCACGTGCCGCTGCGCTGCTACCGAGAAACTGACCTGGACGAGGTGACGTGTCTGCCGCTTCTGCATCAAAATCAAAAACATCATCATCGATTTTGCTCACTTGCTCACGAGTTAGACATCATCTGCCTCTTGTAAGCATGGTGACAGGGCTGATATGGCGGAGTTGTATCGGCACAGGTGATGCGGGCGGAGGCGGCCGAGGAGGATCCCGGCGAGGCTTTGCCGAGGGCGCGTCGGAGTGAGGGAGGGCCGATGGAGGAGGAGGACGAGGATGAGGACGGCCTGGCGAACCAACCGAGCGCCCGCGTGCAGGGAGAGCGCCAGAGGCAGAAGGCCGCCTCCCACCATGACAGTGGCTTCACTCTATTGCTGAAGGGGTGAGAGGTCATATCAGTGAGATCATACCTGATGATGAAAGTGTACCGATGATCACGACGACGCTCTCTCTTCGTCTGGGGTGCGCGCTCAAAACGAAGGGTGGACGGGAGCTTTGAACACTACAATGGATTTAGAAATGGACTTATTTGTGTAATATTTCTTAACGGAAGGTCCGCCCCCTGACATTGTAATTAGGTGACGGCAATGGCATTCACTGCAAGACCAATATAAAATATGCATGTGAGGTACAAGAATTATTTTTCTCCACCACTCTGTAGTATCCGTGACTTTGAGCATCTATAGTATGGTCGGAATGGCAGAGCCTGGCCTGGTGAGTGACGTGGGTGTCGGCGAATGCGAACATAGAGTTGGCGCTTGTCGCCTCAGGACTGTGACCATGCATCTCATGTAGGAATGTAGTCTATGGTACAGAAACGTCTTTGTCGTGGTTCCACTTTTCAATGAGCACGATACTCAAACGGCGATATGATGAGGACGATTCCGAACACGGGCACAGCACGGCACAGCCGTCCGACGCTGACGCGGTCTTCCCCTTCAGGACGTCGGAGGTGAAAGGCCCATCGGCGGCGGGCGCCGGCGTCCCCCTCCAGCCGTCCGACAGCCACCTGGATTCTTTCAGTCGTCATTTTGAAAGCATTATGGAGGGCCACCGGGCCAAAGGAACCTCCTTCAGCAGCCTGGACAGCGTCGACCTGCTCACCTCGGGATCCACGTCCGTCTTCACCTTTGACCTGCCCACGCTCACCCCTGAAATCCAGGTTGCGCTCTATTCCCTTTTTCGCTTTTGCTCGCTGGGGACTCTTGGCTCTTCTGATTGCTTTTTGCTCATGTTGTCTGTTTACAACAGTTCCTTCTTCTGGCGCTAGTTGCTTTTCAAATCATTTCTGCCTGTTTGCAACTCTTGTGTTTCCGACCAGTGCGTGTTTCTGAGAGCTTGTGTGTTTCTCACTGCAGTTCGAGTGTGGCTGTTGATAGTTTGTGGCAAGTGTTTGTTTGCGGGTGCTGGCGAAGACCGCCGTCTGTTTGTGACTCCGGTTTGTGGGTGCTGGTTGCAGAGTCAGATCTGCGAGAGCGCCAAGAACATCATCCAGCTGAGCTTCGCCCCTTTGTCAAAGGCGAGCGAGCCCGCCGCCCGCTCGGAAGTCTCCTTGCGAGGGGGATCCGAGGACGACGACAGCTCTGCGGCAAAAGAGCCGGTGCGGCGCTCCATCCTCAAAGACGGCTTCCGCAAAACCAGCTCGGCACCGTCGCTCCACGGCGCTGCCAGGTGAGTCTTGAACATTACTTGCGACGTTATTAGTGGCTCACGTCAAACTCGTGTCAAGGTGCGTCGGCCGTGTGTACAGTAGACAGCTCAAGTGCAATTGTGCCTTATGTCAAATGGTGAGTTTAATCATCGTTTAAGCTCATTTTTAACCAAGAAAAGTCACGTGACGGAGGTCAACGCATTATTACATTATTGTTGTTGTTAAGCGACGACAATGAAAACTTCAAGCTCAATTAAAGCTGCAAGCAGAGAAAAACATTTGCTCGCAGCCCTTTTTTTCCAGGCCAGTCCTCAAAACGATCATCTCGGCAATGGCGCGCTTCCCATCTATCCACTTTTCAGCTCCCACTTCACATCGGCTTTGAATGCTATGCTCGGAGTTTGCCAAAGTCGGGGCTGTGTAAAAAAGAAAGAAAAAAAAAAAAGAGAAAAAAGGACAAGGCAACTTCTTGTTCAATTTCAGGCAAGTCCTCCAGACTTTTTGTATCTCCTCCTCACTTGATGGGCACATGAGAACAAATTGGTGTCCACTGGTCAAAATGGCGTTCAGGCAGATTCTTTTTTTTTTTTTTTACATTTAAACTTTCCTGGGAAGACGAGTGACTTGTAGTGGACGCCCACATTTTTACTACAATAAATGCACTTCAATAAAGGAGTGCATTTGGGGCATCCATTTACCCCCCCCCCCAAAAAAAAAACCCCAAAGGCCACTCATTTGTTGAAGGAATTGAATTCTCTTACCTACTGCATGAACAGATCTCAACCACCTGGTGGCACCACATGTGAAACGTATTTTGCATGGTCTTTTTTCGAGCAGCAAACAAGCAGCCAATGACTCCAAATGAAAGGAGAGTGACAAGTACTGCTGCCTCTCATTGAAATCTAATGCTTGTGAGAAGATGAAGTTTGTCCTGCTTGGCCGGGTGCGATCCGCCTCTCTCAAACAGATTCTGCTTCAGCTCAGAATTCTAAGTTGAAGGAAAGGCGGCATCCCTGCCGGCGGGCCACACCCCCTGGAGGCAGATGAACTTGAGGAGGAAATTCCAGATGGAAAACTCCCCCACGTCGGCTCTCCTGCGACCCGTGTAGCGGAATGCTTAGCAGACGTCGGCAAGAACGAGATGTGATGGAGGAGCGTAGGGGAACAAACGCTTGATGTTGTTCTCGATGATGTCAATTACCTGCTGTGCCGACGACTTCCTGCAAGCGCGCAAAGAAGCAACTCCAGGAAGGCCGGGAGGAAGATGACGCCCGGCACTGGCTCCACAACCTCAGCCTGACAGCTCCGAGAACGAGCGTTGCACAGGAACAGCCGCGAAGACGAGAACGACCAAAGATCAAGGGTGGAAAAGAAAAAGTAGAATCAGCAAAAGGACAAGCGGAAAAAAGCCAAAGGGGCAAAAAGCAGAAGAAGCTGTTGTGATGGCCACGGTTGCCATGGATAGGGATGAGATCCAAGGCCGGGCGTGTCGGCGGTTGCGGCGGCCATGCTGACATGGCACACTACCTGCTATGCTGGGGGGGCGGGGCTCTGGAGGACGCCTACCTCCACGCCCCCATCGCTGTGTACAGGTCAGACGATGAGGCGTTCGCAATTTTTATTTGGGCCACTGGCTTTCTTCTGCCTCCCGCTAGCGCCTCTTGCTCAAATTATTTCGCAGATGGGCGACAAAGCTTCTGTCGGGTGCTCTGTCGGTATGTCTGTCTGCCTGCCTGTCTGTCTTTTGGTCTGTCTACTGTACTGTGGTTTACGCCTTGTATTTCTGCTCGTCTTACCTATCTTGTGCGTGTGACACAAGTAGGGCAGTTGCATGGTAGTCATGTGACACCGGCAAGTGGGAGGAGCCATGGTGCATGTTGTGTCACACACTCCACTTAGAATGCATCTTCATTGATTTTATGCTTTCCAGAACCTTTCATATAACATAAAAAGAACACTGTGGTGTTATGTCGGCTGAGCCGCGGCCCATTGATGATTGCGCTGGTTGCTACATCGCGCTGAGCCTGGCTGCCGGTGCGTTCTGCTGGATAAAGGGGGGGGGGGCGGATGCGCGTGGTGTATTTCCTGTGTGTTGTCCCAACACAATGCTCCGGAGGGCGACAGGAGGACTCGCCGAAGTCAACTTCCTGTTTGACATCCTCCTCCTTTGTGGGCGCAAGAAAGAGGAAGCCTCGCCGTGCAACGTCGCTCCACCTCGGCCAACGGGGCGGCCTTCCCTGACTCGCGTCTGCCGATGGCAAGAAGGACAGATTGACCATCATGCAGTGTGCCCTCCGTCGCCGTCATCATCACATTCTCACGTCCTTTGTGAACGTGTGACATTCACACTGTGTTGCCATGGCAACCGCACACACTCACTCGCGGACCGAAGAAAGTTTGACGAACGACGACGACGACACACAAAAACGGCAATGGAAAGTGTTCTTTCTTCCCGTCAGGGAGCGCGTGGCAAAGTGCCCCCCGTCGCCGTCATCATCACATTCTCACGTCCTTTGTGAACGTGTGACATTCACACCGTGTTGCCATGGCAACTGCACACACTCACTCGCGGACCGAAGAAAGTTTGAAGAACGACGACACACAAAAACGGCAATGGTAAAGTGTTCTTTCTTCCCGTCAGGGAGCGCGTGGCGAATTGTGTGTTTAGGCTCATGCACGAATATATGGACTCTTGTCAATGATGGTTATTGAATAGGAGAGCAGTGTTTACTCGGCTGTGTGTTATGTAACATGCGTGCGTGTGTGTCTTGGGCAGTAACGACTTCAGTCAGAGGGTGGCGGAAGAATATCTCTGCAACTTTGACTTCAACGGTCTCGCCATCGACCAAGCACTCAGGTTGGCAGCACGCAGAGCCGTCATCCACATTGCAGGTGTCAACTGTTGGCCCGGGGGCCAGATCCGGCCCGCCGTGTCATTTTATGGGGCCCGGACAAGCCACTTCATGTTTTTTTTGCAACACTGACTGATTGGAGATTACGAATCCCACCTTTTAAATACGTTGGAAAATGTCTGAACAAATCAGGCCAATATTTTGGAGTGCTACTTTCGCTCATTCAACAAACATTTGAGCATTTTTGGGGGGCTGGACTGGGCATTTCCATTTTTTTCAGTGGGAGGAGATGATTTGAGATGCTAGTCTTTTGAGTTACGATCGACAAAAGAAATTCAACTCGAGACACCACCGAACATCAGCATCACACACTCGACATCATCCACATGTACAGCCTCATGAACTGTATGCGCAATAAAGTTCACTAGCGCGTCTCCATCCGGTGATGTCATCATAATGATGTCACGATCTTCCTTCCAGAATCTTCCTCAGCAAGTTCACGCTGATGGGAGAAACTCAAGAGCGAGAGCGGGTCCTCGCTCACTTTTCCAGAAGATACGTCGCCTGTAACCCCCGCAGCCTCGCCGCCCAAGGTGCGCGCCGCTACGCATGCACGCGCGTGCACGCACGCACACACCTCATGTTGTTGTTGTTGTTGTTGTTGTCGTCTCTCAGACAGCGTCCACACGCTGACTTGTGCTCTGATGCTGTTGAATGTTGATCTCCATGGAAACGTGAGTGTGACTGACAGCTTGTGCTTGTGGAGACATGTCGGGAATAAGTGTCCTGACCAACGGGTGCGATTGTCTGTGTGTGTGTGTGTTTGTGTCTGTGTGTGTATCTGTGTTTGTGTGCTTGCAGAATGTCGGCAAGAGGATGTCCTGCAGTCAGTTCATCTCCAACCTGGAAGGTCTGAACAATGGAAAAGACTTTCCTAAAGATATGCTGAAGGTGATGCTCTGTCGTCCAATTGTAGCACACGAATGGCAATGACACACACACGCGCGCGCGCACACACACACACAAACTCAGATCTGTTTGTGTACGTGTGTGTCGGTGAATGTTTATAGAAAGGAATCGCATCATCTTTAGCATGCGCACACGTGGATTTACAACAAACAAGAGTTAGTCTTGAGCAACGTGTCCCTAATTTTGTGACCCACTGTTGCTACTAAAGAGACAAAACGTAAGGCACACCTGTCACGACAATGGAGCCCCCCCTCCCCCCTCCCCTCCTGCAATACTTTGCACTTCCAGTGACTTAGCCAACACATCCTGCGTGATTGGCAGCCGAGGGGGCGGGCCACGGCTGGCGTCCCTGCGTGGTGATTGGCCGCAGCTGTTGAGGGAAAATGCGCAGTGAGAGAGAGGAAAGACGTGAGGAGAGGGTGAGAGAGAGAGAGCGTCTCTCCCCGTCACTCGAGTCACAGCGCCAGAGGAAGAGGAGGCGGAAGAGCCTTTTCCTGCAGGGGGAAGGAAGAACTTTGTCGTCTTTTTTGACGAGTCCGGGTCCAGACAAACATCGGCCATTTTAGGCAGCGATTGAATGGTCCGCAGAGGGGCGTGGACGGCGACACGTGACCACGCCTACCTCGCCATCACCTTCCTGCAAAGGAGCCCGAGTGTGGTCCAACCACCTGAGGGCGCCGCCTCACGACGACCACCAGAGGGCGACGTTGTGATCCAAGCGCTGGAGCGCGGCCAAACGGCACAACCCGGCATCTTGTGGCCGTTTTCCCGTGCCAAGCGGAAGTCATTGAAGTTTTTCCTTTTCATTTATTTATTTTTCCCCATTCGACGGCAGCCGAGGCGACATGATCGGCGTCAACAGCATCCAGTCGGCGAGCCGTCTGCGTTCGCGCTCGTTGGGTTCGGTGCGGAGCGCCCGCGATTCTCGAGACCCGCAATCGTTCCGGCGCTCCAGGACGCCGCGGTCTCGCTCACTCAAGCCACTCGCCTTTCCCGATCTGCTGGGTCAAACGCAGGAGGAGGCGCCCAGGAACGCCAAGCAAAAGACTGACAAGAAGAAGAAGGTAGAGCAGGAAGAGCATCCATCCATCCATCCATCCATCCATCCATCCGGCCAGCCAATCGAAGGCAGGGCACGCGATGGCCTGGTGGCCAGTCAATGTCCTGACGCTTGTCGACAAAGAACGGACTGGTCGTGGCACATGTAGAGAAGACAGACGTGTTTTGGGAATTTGGGAGTAAAATGCCAGTTTGGCAAGCGGACAACGTTCCAGATTAGAGCCCCAATTTTGTCAACGGAGAGCCAGATGTGCATATCACTTGGGTCAGCAGATCTGGTTTAAGGGACGATTGCGGCGGTGGCGTTCTGGGATGCTCCTTGTGGTGTTTGGTAGCTCACTTGTGTGCTTCAGGGTTCTTACGCGAGGATGCAAAAGTAGGGACTGTGATGTCGACAATCATTTGATGGCAAAATGACCTCTTAAGAATCAGAATGATACACATTGATTTGGCCAGGTTTTTACGGAGAAGTCTTGGGAAAAGTCTCGAATGTTGAAAGCGCGACGGCGTAGGAACGCTGGGGCTGTGTTTGCTGTTTGGTGGCTGATGCTAAGCTAACTTGTGCGCTATGCGTTTGTTCGCAGTCATTGTACGCGTCCATCAAGAACGACAAACTCCAGTGGACCATGTGAGTTTCTTCACTCAAGCTCCGATCGCCGTCCAGTCGATGCTGTCCAGTCGATGCCGCGCACTGAGGGAGGAGGCATTTTCCTTCATGTTGTCGTTTCCCCAGCGACGAGGAGGAGCTGCGGACGTCCGCGTCGGACTCGGCCGACGGCCGAACAGACTCCGCCTCCCACACCCTGAAGCGAGCGGGGATGGGCCGCAACCAGCTGGCGGCTGCGGCGCAGCGGGCCGACGGCGAGCTGTATAAGAGCGGCTTCCTGGTGCGCAAAGTCCACGCCGACGCAGACGGCAAGAAAAGTACGCTCATGTCTCTTCCTTTCCCGCTCGGCAACTTGCGAATCTCTCCACGGTGGCCCGGCAAACGCGGCGTTGCCAATGGAAACCCCCCGCGTGGTGCTTGGGAAGCAGGGAATGAGTGGATGAGGGCAGTGTTCATCATTCTTTCTTTCACTACCCCCAATCACTCGGGCAGGGGTGGGCGTCCTTTGAACCTTGTGCTGTGGCTCTCGGTGACGTGAGGAAATAAGTGACGTAGTACTGAGATTTACATTTCTGATGGTATTCAAAATTGCCGCATTATGGCGCTCCTGAGACATTCGAACCAAACCGTTTTTTTCCCTTGAGTCGCTCAAATCGTGCGTCCTAATTGCCGTGGGAGAAATCAGACCACTCGATTCGACGGTATGCGGCGCGCCAAGCGAACGCGGCTCACAGATGGCAGCCGACTCTGGAAGTTCACCTCTCATTTCATGACTTGACTTTGAGCCTTTGATTTTTCGAGCCTTTCAAATGTTTTTGACACACGCAGAAATAAAATGTCCTGTTCGATACGGCGCACGACACACTTTGATGCATGCCGCTAGAGTAACTAACAAACAATATTTGCATTCCGCAAGCATTGCCCTCTTACTTTGGATGTCAAAAAGGTTTTCGTGGCCCCCTGGTGTTTTCTCTGTGTGTGCGCGTTAGACGGCCGAAATGCCTCTTTGAGTATTTCAGGTTGCCGAGCCCGAGCCCTGACCTGCGCTCGGCGTCGAGAACGGGCAACGACACGTCTAACTTGTGGCAATGCTTTTGTGTGGCAGCGGCGCGCGGCAGGCGAGGCTGGAAGTCCTTCTACGCCACCTTGAAGGGTCGCGTGCTCTACCTGCAGAAGGTAACTGAAAAGTGGAGCGCCCCCTGGCGGCCTGCCGGTGACGGCTGCAGCTGTCCACTCCTTTTAGAATCGACGGGTAACATTGACGGATTCATTTTTGTATCGAGGTGACTTGCAAAGTATTTTTGGAGGTTTTTTTCGTTCAGCCACCTGCCGGTGACCCCATCTGCGGCCCCTTCTCAAGGATTCTTTTTTTTTTTCCTCGCCCTCTTTTGAGGTTGATATCAGCAGATGTCATTCATATTTGTCTGCTGTGGGCATGTGAAGCCCTTTGAGACCTTTTGTGATTAAGCGCGATAAAAATGAATTTGGTTAGTTGTTGATGGATCAATTGTTGTCTTTTCGAAACACTTCATTGCTTCCTAAAATAGTTGTTGATTCATTGTTGCACCTCTCAATCATTCATCGATGACCAAAATCAATCAATTTGATCATGGGTTAAAGAAGCACGTCGGCAACTGGACGGACAAGACGACTGGATGAGCGGCGGATGAACCGCTTGCGCTGATGTGTGTTTGGCAGGACGAGTACGGCGCCGAGCGCCATCTGACGGAGGACGACTTGAAGAACGGCGTGTCGCTGCACCACGCGCTGGCCATGAGAGCCGCCGACTACGCCAAGCGGCCCAACGTCTTCTACCTGCGCACCGCCGACTGGAGGGTCTTCCTCATGCAGGCGCCGTAAGGGAGCCGCCCTGACGCTCGGCAAAACGTTGACGCCGCAAAAACCAGCGACGCCTTTGTGACTTACCTTGAAATATTCCAGCGTAGCTTAGCGTAGCGTAGCAGCCCGGCCTACGTGCTCAACAAACACAAGTGCATCGCCATTTCCAAGTCTTCATTGGATAGCACAGGAAAGTGTTTGCAAAAGTTGCGATTGCTTGTAAGCATGGTTTCAACAGGAGCGCTGCAATTCAATGTAGCAAAAGTCTTGACACCCTCGATTGCAACCTGTTGCACGTAGGTCTTCTGGTCAAAAGGCTCGCCAAGTAGGAAAGCATTCAAAGGGAGCCATTTTGAAAGCTGAAGTACACGTCTGCGCTGCTGGAAAGTGCTGCAAGATAACTGCCGTGGCGCTCGCTCGCTCGCTCGTCGTTCTTGAATGGGACCAAGCAACCCTTCCCATGATCAGGAGGCCCGAAACATTTGTTGCACTTTTGTTGAGCACGGCGTGGCCGTCGGCCGCTAAGGCGTGCGCCTCTCTCCCCCATCAGGTCGCGCGAAGACATGCGATCGTGGATCACCCGCATCAACGTGGTGGCGGCCATGTTCTCGGCTCCGCCCTTTCCGCCCGCCATCGGATCGCAGAAGCGCTTTGCTCGCCCCCTGCTGCCCGGCTCCACCACCAAATTGTCGCAGGTCGCACGCACGCACGCACGCACGCACACGCCATTTCTTGTTGCACGTGGCCATCAAATCACACTGTTTGCTTTGTGTTGTGTGCTCAAAACCAAACGGGGCAGACAGCCAATGTTCCCTCTAAGCTGCGCGCGTGAGCAATTGCGCACTTATCTCTCACACTCAGCGCACACAGTGACAGCTGTCGCGCACCACGCACACCTTGCATTTCTATTCCACATTCCTTCATTTCCACCCCACTTTAATCTACAAACAGGACACCACACCATACCCGCTTCCATTACAGTTCCATTCCATCCTTCCTTGCTTCCTCCCTCCCTTTCTTTCAGACAGCCCGCAATGTCCCGACACGGTCGGCGGTGTGGTTGACATTTTATTTGTTTTGTGTGGCAGGACGAGCAGGCAGCGTCTCACGAGGCTCGCTTCCGGGCGGCGTCCTCTGACCTGGACGAGCTGGTTGGCGCCGCGCCGGACCGCAAGGTTAAAGGTCGCGAGTTGGACGAGCAGAAAGCGCGCCGAGAGTATTTGGAGTTTGAGGTGAGGGATTTGCTTCTTCAGAATGACAACGGATTCAAAAATATTTTGTAGCACTGTAGCAATCAACGCAGGGCATGTTTGTCTTGAGTCTATTTAAGTGGGCCTTCATCACTTGCATAAGTCAAGGAGGGTTTGCTCAAAATAGTTAATCATCAAAAACTTTAAGGGTCACTGTTTCAAGATGTGAGACATTGACACCTATCAGAACCACGGCAGCATAAAACCATTATCGAGCTTTTCAATAATTTATGACCGGACGTGAAGTTCCTTATCTGTGAACGAGGAGTGATATCGTCTTTTCCCACCCAGAAAACACGTTACGGTACATACGCCATGCTGTTGCGCGCCAAGATGTCCGCCGGTGAGGAGGACTTGGCAGCCTTCGAGGCGCGACTCTTTGAGGACGGTGGCGGCAGTGGCCCGCAGAGGGCGCACTTTAGCCCCTCGCCGCCACAGCACGCGGACGGCAAAGAGAAGACGCGCGGCACCAAAAGTTTAAAGGTCGCCTCCTCGCATTTGCTCTGCGACGGCAGCGCCCAGCAAGAAGAGGAAAGCGGGAAGAATGAGAACACGCCACGGCCGCAAGCTTCCAAGTTGGCATCCAGACAGGAAGTGACGCCGTGAGGAGCGCTCGCAGCGACGGCATCGTGGGAAAAAGGCGGAAGAGGAGGACGTGTGTTGTCTAAGACTTTGACGCCAGCGCTCTTTTTTTCCCTTCCCTGTCTTCGTCTGATGCTGTCGCCATGGCAACAGACGGAGTGCAACTCACCGTGGCAACCACTGCACGAACGACTGTCGTCACGGCAACGGGAGAAATCCTCATCGTCCGGACCAAAATAATCACCGCCACATGTGCACGTGCGCATCGACACACTTGTACACACACGTACAGCTGTCGGATATATTTATTGATCATGCACACGTCAACAGTCAGGAACATATATTTCAAGAATGAAACGTTGACGCTCAACACAAAAACGTTTGTCATCTTAACGGACGACCGGAGAACAGTTTTTTTTTCTCGAGTGAGTGAGTGACATCACAGCCATGTCACGTTGATGCTCAGTGATTGGCCGCAGGCGGCTGCTCGTCTTCTATCGGCTGACTGCTGAAGCCGCTGTCCACTGTCGATTCTGATATGATCAAAGACAACAAACACCCTTCATCATCAAAATCATCATAGAGTGGTGCCTTGAGATATGAGTTTTAGCACGCTCCTTTCTCAAATGTTTCTTTTCCACATTGTAAATGATGGATACGCCCCACCACCCCCCAAAAAAAAGACCACAAACATTTGCAATAACATCAATCAATAGAATATTAAGAAGTGAAGCATTTGTGCATCAGGATTTCATGCTTCAAATCAATTTGTCATGCTGCCTGCCTTGGCCACCGCGGGGCAGTATTATGCCATCCCGCAGACACAAATGAAGAAGAGTCACCACGACTCTCCGTGACTCGGTACGGCGCAATAATATTAGTCGCTCTTCGCAGAGCATAAATAATGTACACCTTTTGTCTGTCTACATGTCTTACGGCACTGTTTTTGTTCAAAAATCCATTGCCCCATCGGCTTTCGACGCCACGACTATCAATTCTAATCATGAGCCCATCTTGGGCATTTTCCATTGTGTGTTAGCATTCAGCTAGCAGGGGCAAATTGTTTGAAATCGTGACTGTCTTTGTTTTCAAACTGCGTTTTGCACTCCACTTAGCTAAGTCCTGTTCAGGTGTGAAAGGGAAAGCCAACTTAATATTCACGTTTCACATTTTCTTGCTGTACTTTCTCAAACATCACGCTTAAAACAGATCAAGATCAATATGCACGTTATTTCTATAAATCTATGCCAGTGTTCACATTTTCAAATGATCACTTGCATCACTTGTCGCATCAGTGGTGAGCTACTTTCCAAACGGCCCGCGGGCTACTCTTGAGCTCCTTGAGGGGGCTACCATGTTGGTGAGCCTTGTCCAAGAGTGTCGAATAAATTGTCGACATTGGCAAATATTGGCTCACCTTAGCCAGTTTCATCACTTGCGTTCATGCCGCAGTGATTGAAGCGCTCACTCGTATTAGCTCACATTCGCTCCCCGTGACAGCTGGTGAATGTGAGCTAGCCCGTCATCATGTGTTATTTTGTGGAATGACAATTAACAGTATGTACGTCGGAGGCGGAACAAGTACGACGTGAATAAAGACTGATTTACTTTGCTTTTCACCTATTTAGAAAAATTAAAACTACAGCTGACAATGAAAACGGGACATATAAGAACTGGGTAACATCAGTCTTCCGTTTGCCTACATTGGCCTGAAACGATCCCCGCCGTCGGTGTAAGCATGTTTACTTGACAAATGTTTATTTTCACGAGGCAGCAAACTAATCGCTAGCTCTCGAGGTCATTCCAAAGAGAGGGACCACCAACGGAAAAGGCTCCGCCCCCTCTGAGCTTCCGCTTAGTTTTCGGTATTTCTAATAGCTTCGGTCCGCATACCTGAGGCACCGGGCGGGTGCGGAGGACCTCAGAGAGTTAAGGTGGGGCGGGGCCATTTCAAGATTTAAAAAAAAAAAAAATCAAATTGAATCTGAAAAAGAACTCTGTGTATGTCAGCACCTTGTCTGAGTTTGTCTGGCGGCGGCGCGTGCGCGTCAGGGCGATGGTGGCGGCGCAGCAGGCGGACGCCCTCGTGTACCCCCAGCGACTCCAAGGCCTCCAGCACATCTTCCACGGGACCGCCGCCAAGCTGTGCGCACACGCCACCGTGATGGCGACAAAGATTAGGATGAGGAAAGGGGGACGGCGACGATGTTGATTAGCAGGTCAAGCGGGGATGTGGCGTCCTGACCTGGTAGTGTTGCAGGAGGCTGTGGCAGGGGGCGGGGCTATCCTGGTAGAGGTGAGCCAGCGTCATCATTCCCAGTTTGTCGGCCAGCTTGTTCCACGGAACGCCGGCGTCGCTCAGTGCATCCACCAGCTCACGCAGCGTGCACGCGTCCACGTGCCAACGCTCCCCATCTAGCTCGTCACAAAGACCACGGCCACTTTTTACTTGCAAAGGAACGCCGGATTGACACGCAAACGACACGTAGAAAGTGATGACACGCAAAGGACGCGTGACAACGTGAGCCTGAGACGAACCTGCTTTGTCTTTGATCTTGTTGGGGACGTGACGAGCGGACGCGGACGTCAGCAGCTTCCTAACCTGTCGCGTCAGACGGCGGAACGTTTACTCCGCGGGGGACAACCAGATGGCGCTTTTACTTTGAAGGACAGTTGGCTACCTTGTGACATTTGGCCAGATCCAGCGCCGTGTGACCGCCCACTCGTCTCTTCCGGCAGCTGATTGGCTGCGAGGATACTCTGGCCCCCGCCTCCTCTTCCTCACGGTCTTCGTCATCGTCATCAGAGGAGCTTAAGACGAGCGGCTCGTCGTTCTCCGCGTCTTTGTCGGCACCTGAACGCAAAACCGGTCGGTGCGTTTAATATGAGAGTCGCCGTCTCCCAAGTGGTGTTCTCACGTCCTTGCGATCTCGTGAAAGGTCGCGACAGTGTACTCCGACTTCTTGATCTTCGGAAACGGCTCGTGACCCTGCGCCTGCCTGTGTGTGCGTGTGAGTACGAGACGCAGGCTGTGTGCGCGCATACCGGCAGCCAGCAGAACGGAGCACAGTGTGTGCGCGTGGGCGGCAGCCGCCAGGTGAAGAGGCGTGTTTCCTCCAAAAGTGCGTGCGTTCACGTCCGCCTTCAACTGGAAGAGGAAAACAAGTGAGGATCATCATCGTGATGTCAGTGGAACAAGCTACGGGAAGCCATTTGACGGCCACAACGCGGGACAAGACAAAAGCAGCGCACAGTAGCGCTTCCTCCAAAAGCGCCGACGCGCTCATGACGCGACGGCGCGTACACGCTTTACCTCCGTGACCAGCGTGCAGGCGACCTTGAGGAGGTTTTGATTGATGGCCATGTGCAGAGCCGTGTGTCCGCCTTTCAGCTCGGGCGCGTTGACCTTGGCGCCGCTCTCCACCAGCAGGCGCAAACAACGGTGACCGTCGCGACGAACCGCCAGGTGAAGGGGGGCCAAACCTGATGCCGACAACACGCGCAAATGACTCGTGGCCACGTGTGGCGAGACCGCCAAAACGTCACATGGTCGCAGCAAGTGTGTAAATGGCAGATGATGAATGAAAGACCCTTCAAGACATGATGACACGTGAATGGCGTGTGTGTGACAACAACTAACGAACAGTGAACAAGACATGAATGAGACACACTGCTGACAGCTGAACGACACCGCATGTCACTTGAATGACATACGTGCCGAAATGTTTTGACACGAACAGGACGTGACGGCACGTGATGCCTCGTGAATGAGGTGACGAGAATGCATTTTACACGCGCGTCTCCCCCCGCACTCACCGTGGTAATCGGCCGCGGTCAACAGGTGGGCGTGTCTTTCCCCCAGGTTGGCCAGCGCGGCGCGTAGCGTGGCGACGTCGCCGCCCAGCGCCGCCAGGTGCAGCGGGCAGCGGCCGTCTCGGTCCCGCAGGCCGGGGTCCGCCCCCGCCCTCATCAGGGCCTCAACAACGCACGGCTGACGCATCAGCACTGCCAGGTGGAGTGCCGTCTGACAGTCAAATTACACACGTGTTACATGCGTTGGCGACACTCTCACTTAGCCGTTCACGTGATTTAATCGGAGACACATTTGACGAATCCACCGGATTCGTTTTGTGTGGTCACGTGACGCATCGGCGGCGTTCCATTGAGCGGCAGGACCGACCTGCTGCAGATGGTTGGCGACGTCGAGTACGTGGCCCCGCCCGCTGCTTTGCAAGGTGTCAATCAACTCGCAGGTGACGGCCATCTGCTGGTGAATGATTGACAGGTGCAGGGGACTGCGGGAGGAAAAGAGGCGGGACATTAGAAAGGAAGTGGCGGCCGGCGATGGCTGGGGGGCGGGGGGGCAAGTCTGACTGACGTGTCTCCGCCGGCGTCCCGCGTGGCGCAAAGGCGTCCGTGCAGGCGCAGAAGGAAGCGAGCGTCGCCGCTTGCGCAGTAGCGCAGGAGGGCGGCGCGCGCCTGACGACTGGCGCCGGACGCTCCGGCCTGGAAAGCGGCAGCTGCGGATGAGACACGTGACAGCACGGGAACCCGTCAGTAACGCGCGATGCGACGCGTGAATGACCTGTGCTACGTGAACCACGTGAAAAAGGAAAAAAACAAAAGCCTGAGCACACAAATGGCAACCGATGACATCACATGCCAATAAACACGCACGTCACATGACGGCATGTGACTGACGTGTGAAACATCTTAAAACTTTGACTTAGAATGTGCGCCTGTCTACGACGCACGGCGACCTCTGAACGACGCTTCACGTGACGACACGTGACGGAATGCGCGGGGAGGTCACGTACCGATGATTGACAGTTGCCTCTGTTGGGGGGCGGAGCCCACCATGTGCGCTCCGCCTCCTCCTCCAAAGCGGCCGACGTTTCCCGAGTAGAAAACTCCGCCCCCTCCTGCTCCGCCCACCGCACCGTTCATGTGCTGGCTGAAGTGAAAACCTCAAAGAGACAAACCGCCAAAAGGTTCACGTTTGCTTTTTTTTTGGCATCGGTGGTTCGCACGAGTCTCACCTTCACCCGTGGCTCCTCCCCCTCCAAAGCCGCCACCGGCTCCTCCGCCTCGTTCACCGCCTCCTCGCCAGGGCTCGTAGTGGGGGAGGGGCTTCTGTTTCTTCTTCAGCACCTCCTCTTTGTCTGAACAGCACGCGGAAAAGGAAAGAGGAAGATTTGATTTTCAAAGTGCATTTATTCAACGATTTAAAGCGAAAGGTTCCAATTCCAAAGGCTCAGAAGACTCCAAAGAAAACGAAAACAAGCGCCACTAGTGCTTGATTTCTGTGTCTTGATCGGTCACAGATTTCAAAAAAAAAAGAATACATCAAAGATATGAAGTTCTTACGTGTGTACCAAGCCTAAGGCTCCACTTTTGATCTA